TTTGACCCTTTTGACATAGCTGGCCTTAAAGGAGAACTATGGGGTCAGTGTTTTTCCCCATAGTTCTCCTTGGGGTAACGGGAGGACACAAACTAGCGTCCTCCCGTCACCCTAAGCTCAGTATACCGCGAGCTACAGCTCGCGGTATACTGAGACGCCGCACCTGGAGCGGATCCCGACCAGCTGCGTGAGTGACAGCTGGCTCTGCCTATCTAGATCATTGTCACAGGTCGGCTTAGAACTATGACGTGAGTGGAAATCACTCATGTCATAGTTCTCCTTTAAGCACTGATATTACTTTGCTGCCATCTAGTTTGCGGGCAAAAAAACTTCCCTCCATAGAAAGGGAGTGGGAAAAGCTAACAAGCGAGTGGAAAGGCCTACGTTTCCAAATAAAAGGGTTGCACATTGAACTGAAAAGGGATACTAACAGGGAAAAGCGTTAAAGCTTGCCTACAAGTTAACACTGACCAGATCAAGAACCTGTTTTCCTGTAATTACATGAGGCCCAGGGTCCTGTTCACTATGGGAACTGTGGACCAGCTATAACGGAAAAAAAGTGTATCCCTGTTGGTATGTCAATGTGAATTCGCTAGGTAAAGATAGATAGCATGTGCATATGTGTATGTAATGAATATTTGTAGCACTCTATGGGGGGAATTCATCAAAACTGGGACAAAATCTGGAGCAGTTGCCCATATTAACCAGCTTCTCTCTTCAGTTTGTACAGTTAAGCTTAGTAAGTGATGGATAGAAGCAGATTGGTTGCCATGCACAGCTGCTCCAGATTTTCTCTCCTCCAGTTTTAAAACATCCCCCTCTGTATTGTTTTTCTTTAAGGCATCATCAGACTGCGTAAACACGTCCGTGCAGCATGCACGCCCATTTCGGGCTGTTACTGGGAGGGACAGGTGCTGCAAGTGATTGCACTTAGCGGCATTGTTCTTCCCTATGGGAGAACGCAGCCGTGCGCCATCATAAGCACACCTGAATGGGTCCGGATGTCCGTGCTTGGATACAGACTGAATCCATCCTGTCTGCGTCCGAGTACAGACACCTAGACCCGCACAGATGTGCAGTTAACGCGTGTGTACGATCGCGTCCTCCCACAGGGAAGAACAGGTGTAAACAGGGGACATGGAAATTAATGGGATTCCTTGAGTCTTGAGCGTAGGTGTGAACGGAGCCTTAGGCTGCATTCACACCTAGGTATCAGCGTTTTTGCACACGGTTTTGCACAATTGCTGCACATTTTTTTACGTGCGTTGGACGCACGCAAGTGAACACCTTGGGTGCTAAAATGATCAGAAGAGAAATAAAGGCTGGATCATTAAATACACCCAGAATAGTCTAATTCTTATTTTTCTACTGCCTATAAGGCCTCATTCACACAGTATAGGATGGGGCCGTACAGATCTGTGCGGCGTGTGATTGACAGGTGCTGTGTGTGATTGCGTGCAGCAGCCTGTTCTACTCTATGGGAGGGCGCGGCCATACGCTGTAATACGCACACCCTAACTGCACATCAGTGTGGGTCTGGGTGTCCGTGCTCATCAATTGTGTAGAGATGTCACCATCACACCAAAATCCTTCTTAGGATAAACAAAATGTTCATTTATTGAAGTTCCTTGTCATATAAACAAGCGCAGACAGACTAGTGCATGAAACAACCTCAGAACACCCTCCGACGTCATAATCCCGCCAAAAACATTGTAAACATAAATACAAATATTGACCATCACATACAGTAGGATAGGTGTAAATATTAGATGTATACCTTTATATCAACTGCTGAATAGTGAACACATAATCACCACAAGATCAATAAATATGTTACTTACATTATGGGAGATGAGGAAAACAAGGCCAGCCACATCAAAGCCCGTTAAGCGATCCAGCTGCCATACGGTGCTATTAGTTGCCATGGCAGCTAGGAAGCCGTCGGGCCCTGCGTGCAGAGGCAAATCCCGCCCATTGGCGCATGTGCTGTGCGGGACCTGGGAACAGACGGAAGGGAGACAGCTGACTGCCGAGGAGAGAGAAACCATCATGGGCACATGCTCTGTGTGGTTTAAGCTGGAACGCAGCATCATGTTAATCCAGGGTGCCAGCTACTGGTGCAAACCAATATTGAAGGTCAATAGCCAAATTAGGTTAAATCTCTATTTCTCAGGAGGGACATAGCAGCAATCATTGGGGCTGGTGTAGTGTCAAATATGAAATGCAAAAGCGTTGAATATGACATATACGACATGATGGACTGTTACATAGTATTTGAGATTGAATAAAGACATCGTGTCCATCAAGTCCAACCTATGTGTGTATGTGTATGGTCCTACTGATGTGTGCATATGTATAGGTTTCTGTGTTCGCATTCTTAAGAGTACTTGTAGCCCTGTATATTATGGTCCCTGAGGAAATCGTCCAGTCGCCTCTTGAATGATTCCACACTCTCCGCCGAAATCACAGCATGTGGCAGCGAGTTCCAGACCCTGACTGATCTAACTGTGAAGAACCCCCTTTGCCCCTTGCGCTGAATTTTTTTTCTCCACCAATTTTAGGTGGTGGCCTCTTGTCCTTGTCATCGAGTTAATTGTAAAAATGTAGTAGCCTGTCCTCATAGCTTAGGACCTCCATCCCCTTTATGAGTTTGGTTGCCCCCCCCCCTCCCCCTGGACTCTTTCTAGTTCAAGGACATCCTTTCTGTTCACTGGTGCCCAAAACTGGACAGCATACTCCAGATGAGGCCGAACCAGTGATCTATAAAGTGGCACATTTATAGACTTGTCCCTGCAAAACATTCCCCTCTTAATACAGGACAGGACCCTGCGGGCAATGTTTACCGCAGCCTGACACTGCAAGCTATTATTCAGCCTGTGGTCCACAATGACCCCCAAATCTATTTCCCTTTTGGACTTCCCCAGTGGAGCTCCCATTAGTGTGTAATTCGCTTTCTTATTTTTAACCCCAAAGTGCACAACTTTACATTTATCTACATTAAACTTTTACTTTAAACTTTTTATGAGGGGGTAAGTAGAGATATGGACGGAGGGAAGCCGGTAGATGTGGTATATATGGATTTCGCAAAGGCATTTCATACGGTACCACACAAGTGCTTACTTCACAAGCTGAGAGCTATGGGCATAGATACATCTGCCATGTAGTTGCCCACTGCCCTATTTTATCCAGATCCCCCTGTAATGTTATAGCGTCAGTCAGTGTCTATTACCCTCCCGATTTTGCCATCATCAGCAAACACTGAAACATGGCTGTTTAACCTATTAACGATATTGGGGAGGGGGTAAACAGCATAGGCCCAGTACAGTAACCCTGCGGCACGCCGCTCATGACCCTTTCCTGTAGCCAGTTTTCCATCGATGTACACACTATTTCGTCTATGCCCATAGACCTCAGCTTGTGTAATAAACGTTTATGAGGTAATGTGTCAAATGCTTTAGCAAAGTCCAAGTATACAACATCCACTGGCCTCCCTCCATACAGATCTCTACTTACCCCTTCGTAAAAAGTTAGCAGGTTAGTCTGACAGGAACGGTCTCTCGTAAATCCATGCTGGTTGTCATTTACTATGTCATTATCCCGAACAAATTCTACTAAGTGGTCCTTAACCAGTTGACATCCGGGGTGTTAAACCCCCTTCCCATCCAGGCCATTTTTCAGTATTCAGCGCTGCGGTACTTTGACTGACATTTGTTCCGTCATGCAGCGCTGTACTAAAATGAATTTTAAACCCTTTTTTGGAACACATAGAGCTTTATTTTGGTGGTATTTATTCACCACTGGGGTTTTTATTTGTGAATATATTAAAGGAAAAATTACAGAAATTTAAAAAAAAAAAAAGTTTCCCCTATAATAAATTCTAAAACATTACCCAATTTTTTGGTAAAATATAAAAAAGACGGGGTCACATCGGGTAAAGAGACACCAAACATGTCAAGCCTTAAAATTGCGCACACGCGCGAAACCTCAAAAAACTACATTACCCAAAATTGGCCATAGGCAACGCATTAAAAGCTTTTACCGCTCATCAGTTTAGTGTTATCAGTGATTGATGGCCCTAAAATGATTGCTCTCACTGCGACGTTCGCTTCAATATGTAACATGTGTAGCGCAATTGTCATTTTTGCGCGCTGGCGCATGCAACGCATATTTACGTTTATATGTGCGTAAACGAAGGGGGGGGGGTTACTTTTTTTATTTGGAACATTTTTTTTTAGCCCATAAGGGTTTCTCCCTCTCCTCGGCAGTCAGCTGTCTGCCTTCTGTCTGTTCCCAGGTCCCACACGGTGCATGCGCCAGTGGGCGGGATTTGCCTCTGCACGCAGGGCCCAACCACGTCCTAGCTGCCATGGCAACGAACAGCACCGTACGGCAGCTGGATCGCTTAATGGTCTTTGATGTGGCTGGCCTCTTTTTCCTCTTTTCCAATAATGTAAGTAACATATTTACTGATCTTGTGGTGATGATGTGTCCACTATTCAGCAGTTTATATAAGGTATATACATCTAATACTTACAACTATCCTACTGTATGTGATTGTCAATATTTGTACTGATGTTTACAATGTTTTTGGCGGGATTATGACATTATGACGTCTGAGGGTGTTCCGATAGGTTGTTTCATGCACTAGTCAGCCCGATATGGCAGTGCACGCCGCAAGGATCTGTACAGCCCGATCCTACGCTGTGTAAATAAGGCCTAACTCTGCAATGCCCTGAGGGAGCATTAGCATGTAATAGTGTGTACAAATAAATTACTAACAAATGCATAAAAAAACAACATGCTTGTTCTGGTGAGGGAATCTTTAACCATTTAGATTTCTGCATTAAGTATGCACAAGAAAATCTTTAGCAAAATATGTAAACCGATAAAGTAAACAGAGAACATAATAATGCTTTCTTACACAATATCCTTAAAAAAAAAAAAAAAAAAAAAAAATAATCTTTTAATCTTTTTTAAATTTTATAAAAGCATATATTCACCTTTATGGTTTTTGATTGCAGTCTCAATCCATTAAGTGTGTTTATTGCTCTTTCTGCATCTTTAGCATTTAAGTAATTTACAAAGCCATATCCTAAGCTGTGCCCTGCAAAGAGAAAAAAAACAAAAAATACAAAAAAAGACATAATTAGCAATAAAGGTCTGAACACCATTATTAGCAGCAACGTTTTGGGAGTGAAAGAACCCCCTTTCTCGAAAGGCAGAAGGTTCATGAGAAAGGAGGCTCTTTCACCCCCAAAATATTGGGTCCTTCCACTTTCTTTCACCAGAGTCTCTCTGGTTTTTCTCTCAACATCAGCTGCTACAGTGGGGCAAAAAAGTATTTAGTCAGCCACCAAT